CCGGGGGGGGGGGAGGTCGGCAGGCTATTTCGGGCGATGGACCACTTGCCCCAGCTGCTGGCGACGCTGTATCAGAGGATGAAGTGAGTGATGTTGCACGCGATAGAGGTGGTTGGGCCGCGCGAGGGGGGAGGGGGGGGGGTAGGCGTACTCTTATGTTTTGCATGCTTTGTCGTGGTAAGACCATTGACCACGCGTCCCCGAGAGTACGGAGCATTCCCACAGGGCCGATCACCGATGGCCGATCGTTCCTTCCTACTTCGCCATAGGTGGCTCAAAAATTTCTTCCCTAGTCTATCTATCCGATGATGTCATTTCCCGCCTTTCCAACCCACTTCCTGCGTCTCAGTACAGCTATCGTCTTCTCCTGGCTATTCCGTGCCTCAAGCATCTCCCTGTATCTTCCTTCTATTTTTCCCAACTCGGTCATGTACACTTCCCTCTCCTGCTTGTGTATCCGATATTCCGCAGTCACATTTAAACTTGTCGTCTTCGTCGCCTACCTTCCTCAATCTTTGTCTACGTTCTCGAAGGCCTAAATCCCCGGTCCTGAATTTGACCTTCAGCTTTGTTCATGCATCCATTAGTCCATGTAGGTACTCCTTGAACCCTATTCCTTCTTTCAACATTCCGTACACATCAAGTACCCTCCTTATCCTTTATTTCTTTGTATGGATTATGTTCTTCTCCCTCGGCAAAAGCAACAGATATATTCTCCTTGAACGCCGCAAGACCTTTCGTCTCCAGCGTATCACCTTGGTCAATTTCGAACTCCTTTCATACGTCATCTACAACCTCGACCTACTCTGTGGGTTGTCTACCGCTCCTCTTGTTCACCCACTTCGCCCCCCAAGCTATTCTTGGTAAACTAGGTTGTACGGACCATGGTAAGCAACGTTTTCGATGGTCATGATTAGCACACGACGACCGAAGACACTGTTATGGGAGATGGACGCGTTACGACTGCAAGGAAGCGGTATCCTCGCTGGAGAAGCAGTCAACCCTTTGAAAGCGTTGGAAGCATCGGACCGACGTCCCTTTTCCACAGAGATTGGTGGCCCGATTTCCTCGAGACGATTTAGGCAGCAACGAACCGAAGTTGCCCGCGTCACCACCTTAGGGCATGGACTGCAGGAATGGCAACAAACGACGATAACATCCCCTGGGATCAACCGGTCACTCTGGACGGATGAATGACCCTTCGATCATTTCTCATCGCACGTACGCGCTTTTCCAGCGCTTCTCGATTCGTGGAACCCCCTCCCTGGGCGTTCCTCTCGTCATCAATCACCAATTGAACGATATTCGTGGCAGGCGCAAGCGATAGACCCCCCCCCCCCCCCCCCCCC